TCCCCCAGGTGTACTGCAGGGTGCGGCCGCTCAGCCGGCCGGACCAGGAGTGCTGCATCGAGGTGATCAACGAGACCACGGTGCAGATCCACCCGCCCGACGGATACAGGATATTCCGCAACGGGGAGTACCGGGAGGTAACGGCGCCTGGGGGGCGGCGGGGAAACCCGTGCGTGCGCCCTCCGCCTTGGAGCCGTGCTGGGCTGAAGGGGCTGCCTTCCAGCCCGGCGCTGGGGAGCGAGGCCCTTCTCCCTGCTGTCGATGTTTTCTGTCGGCTTGCGGTGTCTCTCGCAATGTGCACATCAGCCGTTTGCGCTTTTAGAGAAGTGGATTTTCAAAACCAGAAAACCATCTAGAGCAAAGATGCACCCTTAGCCGTCAAATATATTCTCTATATAGGAAAAGGCTTCTGCAGGGTGGAGGAGGAGAAGTAAAAGGAACAAAAGCAAAGCTGGCAAATATTTAGACTGCTTGAAGGACTTTTTCGTGTAGGACTAATTGAAAGAAACCAGCTCTAAGCTAAACCAGTCACAAATGAATTAATGGTTTATTTATCCCAAACTTAAGTTGGGTAAAAAAACCCCAGTGTTCCCCTATTTATATAATGTATATGGGGGGAAAGCTGTAGGTTACGTATACAAAGTGGTGAAATGTCATGAAGTGTAGAAAAGTAGGTAGCAGGTCACAAAGCAGTTCATACTGTTACTTGATCAATACGAATGTTTCCTAGAACAGGAGAGTTTAGGTCATGCATACAAAATGAGGAGCCACAGTACTGTAGCACTGAACATGATTTGGTAGTGAAACAGTTAACTGCAGGTTCCCAACACACTGCTGTAACTCTAAATAAGACAAGGTCATAGTGTTTCTAAGAAAAAAAAAAGAATGCCAGTTGGCATGTAGAATACTTTGTTTCTGATTTTGGTATGGGAAATTCTTCTAGGAAGTACATAAAGTGATCTTCAAAGGCTTAAATAAAACAGGCAAAGATTTAATTAAAAGTTTGGTAAACAAACCTTTGTGCAAAACCTTACAATTCAAATGTTTATATAAGCAGGTGTTTTGATTGAAAAGTGACCAGATTAATAAAAAAAAAAGTGTATTGAAAATCTATGACTGGAAACTGAGGCTAGACTGGAAAAAGACACAGGCTTAAAACGATCAAATGCTGGAGCAACTCAACTTTGGCTGTTGCGGGTGTTCCTTTGCTCAGTGCTTGCGTAGATGATGGTTGGAGCTCAAACAGAAATTTGAGCTTGAAGCTGTGAATTGTGAGATTCTCTAGTTGCTGGGAGGTCAGGCTTTGCGATCGTTCTGGTTACTTCTGGACTTAAGCTCTGTGAAAATGAGACAGTTGCTGTTCTTCATTATGCACATCTTATTATCAGAATAGTTACATTGGAGCAAGTGCTTGTGTTCAAACACTGGTATAATCTTAAAGTAGAATCTTTATCGTTCTGGTAAGCTGATGGAAGGTGGCTCTAAGGTATGAGGCAATGAAGCATTTTGAAGCAATGGACTTCTGGACATGGAAACTTACGGTTTAGGACGGTGTATCTTCTTTTCTTCAGACGCAGTATTCATTTAAAGAAGTGTTTGGCACCCTTGTTGTTCAGAAGGAACTTTTTGACGTGGTGGCTAAACCTCTAGTGGAAGATCTCATTCGTGGGAAAAATGGTGAGTACTTGTTCTCTACCACTTTTCTGTATGTCTACCATGCAGGTTTTCTTATATTGCTATGGTTTCATGTGTCTTAAGGTTTCTTAGCTTGTCTAGGTAAAAACATGTATACCCTGTTTGCAATGAGAATAGCTCCCCTGTACAACATCCTTGGAAGCTCTTGCCTTTCATTAGTTCTAAACCTATTTCCCTTTGTTATGACGTGCATGTTACTTGTGTCAAGGTCTAATCTTTTTGTACACCATTAACTGGAGAAAAGCTTTTTCTTCTGCAGAAAGGGATGACTTATCCACCTAAAGAATGACTACAGAAATAAATCTATTTGTAGGGCTTGATCTCCTGTGCATGCTTTGATATCACAGTGTTGGTTCTTGAACTATCTGGCTTATGTCAGACTCCTCAATAACAGTCAACAAATCAGCCCTCTACACCTGGGACTTAGTGGCTTCCTTCCGTTTTGGCTTCCAGATGCACTCTCCCCAGAAAGGATGATAGGTACTGTCAGTTGTAGTTGAAGTGGCTTTCAATGAGAGATGCAAACACTCGTGATGACGGCGGCTTTTGATGGGCTGGAATAGTTCACTGTTATTGGAGTCATTGCTTTTTCCAAATACATTTGACCCGAGAAAGACAGGGCGTGTGACTGTAACTGAGCTTTTTTTTTTTTGAGACAGGAAGCATGATTCTGTAACTTTGCTGTCCCTCCTAGGTCTCCTTTTTACATATGGTGTGACAGGCAGCGGGAAAACACACACCATGACAGGATCTCCTGGTGATGGAGGACTTCTCCCACGGTGTTTGGATATGATCTTCAACAGCATAGGACCATTCCAGGCCAAGCGATTTGTGAGTGGTTTTGCACTGAATTCTCTGCGCTGTTGCTTGTAACAGCCTAAAAAACACCAGGGAAAAAAGGGTTCTGTTCAAAGGGTTTATCTCCTGTCTAGTCATGTGACTGGAACACTTTAAAAAGAAGACCAACTGAAAAGATCCCACCCCCTTGAGATTTGAAGAGTGGGGCCAAGGAGGCAGGCGTAGTAGCTAGGAGAGACATTTCACGAAGATGTATGGTCTGGCTATCCTTATAACTGTCGCTCATTCTTTAACTTTTTTAAAACAATCAAAAAGGAAAGAGGAAGCTTTCTGAGTAATGGAATGAAATCTAGCCACAAGATACAAAAGCCACAGGAAACCATTTCTAAAATAATATAGGACGTGATGTGAGGCTTTTCTTGTGGTCAAACATCTCTGGAGTTTTGGTATCTAAATATATTTGAAATAATACTGGAAGTCTTTTCTTTGGTGGCATGCTAGCTTGGGAGCTTTTATGAAATACTGGTGTCTGAAATACCTGTTTTCTGTCAGATCTACTTCACGTTAGCCAGCAGACTGAGTGTTAGTGAGGGGCGTGTTATTTGATGGTTGCCAGACAGCTTGATCAAATAATTTGTTTTGCTGGCCGACACCTTATGTTCTCTAGTGTTTGTCATTATGTTGTCTAAACATGCTATACTCACTGCTCAGGTTTTTAAGCTTGATGACAAGAATGGTGTGGATGTTCAGTGTGAAGTAGATGCTCTATTGGAGCGCCAGAAAAGAGATGCCATGCCTGTTCCAAAAACTCCATCTGGCAAGTAAGTAACTGTTGTAACATGCAGAATGAATTTAGTTAATGTAAATGTTATTCTGAAATTGTGGTTTTAACTTACCTTGGTCTCTTTATCCTTCCCTTGAAGAAAGGAAAGAAAAATATTAACGGAAAGCTAGTACATTTCATGTGGTTTGAGCAATTGCATAATTATTTAGATTAGAAGACTTGGAATCAGACAACAGAAGTTTATTTTGTGTACCTGTTAACTCACGACCGAAATGCTGTGACTTCACCAAGTAGGAATACTGTGAAGTTGAACTTGGGGATACTCTGCAAAATAGTGAGATTGCTGAATGAATGGAGGGTAGAAATGTTGACTATCTGGGAATTTTGCAAGGCATTTCTCACTGCAGACGAGTACAGCAGTGTCAGATGAAAATTTATCTATTTAAACTTTCCAGAGTGCTTTTTTTTCATCTAATGTGACTGGATGTGTTGTCATCAGTTGCTAGTGTGAGCACTTCCATGCTCGAATTATGCTATCTGTCAGTAGACTTGCTTTTTAATTGTATAGTCACTGTCTGACATGTTAGCTGGCTGTGGATGCTCCACTACAATCACTTATTGTGTGTGTTCAACAGGCGACAAATAGATCCAGAATTTGCTGATATGATCAATGTGCAAGATCACTGCAAAGTGGAAGAAGTTGATGAAGATAATGTCTACAGTGTCTTTGTCTCCTATATTGAGATCTACAACAACTACATATATGACCTCTTGGAGGAAGCTCCCTTTGATCCTATAAAACCAAAGTTAGTTTTATGAATACCGTTACTCCTACTTCAGTTATGCTTTTGCGGGAACTACAGTATGTCTTCGTGGCTGTAGTCTTGGCAATTCTGGCTCAATTCATGGGAATCACTTCTGAAATCACGTGGAAAAGGGGATGCCCAGGGAGTCCAGACAATAGTATTTAAGTGTGCCAAGTACCGGTGGTTGTTCTGTTGCTGCTAAGAATTAGTGCTCCCTTCCTTGTTATAATAGGAGATTAATAAGCAAATATTTAATTTGTTAGGCAGTGTGTTGTATCCCACTGACATTCTAAGTCTATTCGTGCTATTCTGCGAGCACTATTCCTAGCAGGTGACCGTAACTTGAAGAGTAAGCCGTTCCATAGCTGACACTTTTCCCCTGGAAACAGTGTGTTGGGCGAAAGTTGCTATTTTGTTGTTGCTTTACTGTTAATGCAAGTTTGTGTATTATTTCACTTGATGTCAGTAATTTCCATAAAGACAGCAATGAATTGTCTCATAAATGAAATTCTGGGTATTTTTTGGAAAGGTGTGTACTTGGCTGATGACTAAAATCAGTAAATCTTGAGACTGTCAGAAAAACAGTCTGCAAATTAAACTTTTAATATATTTTTAAAATTCAAAATCCATTGGAGAAAACCCTACGCGTATCTATTGGTACATGTGTTAATTAAAGAATTGGCTGATTTACGAAGACTAATTAGAGCAAAACAAGCCATTGCTCTGAAACATCAAGAGCTGTCTTCAGGGTACTGATTTGAAATGAGTTTCAATGTCTGTGAATGCTTTATAAAGAAGAACAAAATTATCGGTTTAGTATTATGCCTATGTGCAAAACTCAGCCTATGAAGAATCTTGGATTATTTCTATTTATGGGAGCTACAGTGTATTATATATAAAAAGACTTTAGGCACAAGCCGAATGACTTAATATTTTTTTTAACCCTGTTTTTTGGTAGGTGGAACAATTGCAACACTCCTGTGCGAAATGGTGACTTTATGTATGTGCATAAGCATATTATTCCAAATATTGAAAAGTGAAATTTTCTTTTAGTAGAAGCAGAAAATGAACTCAGACTGACTCCCTATCTCTTCTTGCTTTACTAGCGAATGTAGAACGCTGTTGAAGCCATCTTGCTTCTGTATGCATGTAGAAAAACAATAGCTGCCATCCAAAACCATGATTTCCAGTAAGAACTGCAATTAAACATAGCTTCTAAGTTAAAGCAGTAGCTGAAGTGTAACTAATCTTGGCTGGATGTGTGTCCATGTACTTGTACTTCCTCTTCCATCTGCTGTATGGATAGTTGACATATTCAGTTTTAATTTTGTACTTAAAAGAAAATTTGCATGACACAATGTATTGTTGTACGGAAAAGTCCACTCAATTTTAGTGGGGTTTTTTGTTTGTTTTGTTTCCTCCCTGTCCTTAAGACCTCCACAATCCAAAATACTTCGTGAGGACCAGAATCACAACATGTATGTCACAGGATGCACAGAAGTAGAGGTGAAATCTACAGAAGAAGCTTTTGAAGTGTTTTGGAGAGGTAAATCTTAGAATATAACTTCTTAAATTCAGTACAGATGTGTAATCCTTTACACTATCATGCTGAAAACAGAATTGGCTTTGCCAGGTGGCACATCTGTTAAATAAAATGGGTTTTTGGAGGGATTCTTTTTGTTCTTCTAAACAGGTCAAAAGAAGAGGCGTATTGCAAACACGCAGCTGAATCGAGAATCTAGTCGCTCTCACAGTGTTTTTATTATAAAGTTGGCTCAGGCACCCCTGGATGCAGATGGAGATAATGTGCTACAGGTGAATTCCAGGGCGGGCTATTAAAGGAGAACTGTGCATGTGTGCACATGTATGTGTAGGTTAGAAAAGGTGGTGAACCTTGCAGCATGGCCTACTGAAACAGTTACCGTGTCTTGAGCATAGACATCTTGCTCGTTAGCAATTTCATTTTGAAGAAAATCAAAATTATTTACTTTCTAGTTTTTGACAGAATTAGTCTCCTTTTTGTAATGAAAGTAGAGCATTATGGAGTGTGAAGCTGCCTATTCCTTTGTTTGCTTCTGCTTTTGAGCAAAATGTTAAGAATCTAAAACTTGGAGGATTTGAATGAGCGCAGTTATATCTATCTTGTGGCCCAAGACAGAAGTGATCTGCTAAACTTATTCACAAAAAGAGCTAGTGGTGCACAGCTTCTTGCATTAAGGGCTATAATAACACCCTTAGACTTTAAAGGTGCAACACACATTCTTTTTAAGTGTGCATGCTGGTTTAGCTTTGGGGGTGTGGGGTGTTCATGTCCCCCCCATTAGAAGGAATATAGAGCTGATCATTAGCCTAACATAATTTGTTTTCTGTAATAGGAGAAAGAGCAGATCACTTTAAGCCAGCTGTCTTTAGTTGATCTGGCTGGAAGCGAGAGAACTAATAGAACAAAAGCTGAAGGGAACAGGTTGCGAGAAGCAGGTATGTATCACCTTTAGACAGCCTCGTAATTTTATGTGCTAATATACGCTCATATTAGTCTTGTCTCCTAGTAGAGAAATCATAGGAAGAATCGAAGTGTTCTGTTATGATGTTCAGTTGTCTGATTTGATGACCTTAAATCCTCCAGTTTGGAAACCAGAAGTTTTTAGTAGCACGTATTCTGATATTTCAGTTAATTAGAGCAGTTACCTGTGACAAATATAACTTAAGTCCAGGCAATTTATTCTTAAGTAAACTGCTAAATAATTTGGGAACATGATCCAAATGGCTGCTTACAGAGTTTTGTCTTTTGGTTTTTTGTTTTTTTAAGGTAATATTAATCAGTCACTAATGACATTAAGAACATGTATTGAAGTTCTACGGGAAAACCAGATGTACGGAACAAATAAGGTATGCAAGCCATTATCTAATTATCTTTGATTTTATTAAGATCTGGTGTAATGAAAGCTTACTAGATCTTTCATGTACTTTATTTTAAGATGGTCCCGTACAGAGATTCCAAACTGACTCATCTCTTCAAGAACTATTTTGATGGTGAAGGAAAAGTGCGTATGATTGTGTGCGTTAATCCTAAAGCTGAGGACTACGAGGAAAGCTTGGTAACTTCCTTGCAGATCTTACCTCATTCCCTCCTCTTTTTTTCATGTTTATCACTGAATTACTGTACTTGTTTAGTAGGTGATGGGAATGATTTTTTTGTTGCTTGGACACTAGTAATCAAAATATAATACTATAAGGCAACTGTGCTCTCCAAGTCTTATTTTTCCTCTTAAAAATGACAGCTGCTACTTGCTTGTAAAATAGGAAAAGTTCCTCTTATTTACAGAAGTCCAAATACTCCGCTGTATTTAGGTACTTAATTGTACTATGCCAGTACTGGCAAAAACTTCAGCTGTCTGCACAGTCGGTTTCATGGTTCCTTGGGGGCTGAGGTCGGGGAGGTGTTACTAGGAAGGTTTCTGGATGCTTTGCTTCAGAATCGCAAGCTATCTAGCTGGGAACTACTTGAGATTATAGCGTGATAATGTCTCTTCTAATGCTTTTATTGACCTAAGGTATCACTTTCAAACTTACATGGGATGGCTTCTGGTTAGTTTTATTGTTAAGCTTGCTTTTGTTCTTTTGTAGCAAGTCATGCGCTTTGCAGAAATGACCCAGGAAGTTGAAGTTGCAAGACCTGTTGATAGACCGCTCTGTGGCTTAACACCAGGACGGCGCTTTAGGAATCAAGCCTTCAGAGAGGAGCTCTCGCGGAAATTAGAGATGCGGGGTGGCCCAATAAATGGAGGTAAATACTAGAATGCTAGGTGACTACAGCACAGTTGTTTTTCTGTTAGGAGTTGAAGATTATTTTTAAAACAAATAATTTGAGCCTTGAAAGTGCAAAAGGAACTTCACTTAACTGTTATTGCAGAGAAGGCTCACAACTAGGCACTGCTCTTTTCATACTGCAGTGCTACTTGTAGTATAAACCCGGTTACTGTGTAAGTCTCAAAGTAATTCTTTGTTATTGGTGATGGGTTGAATTTGTGGTCCCGTTATTGCATCTCCTGAAAGGCAATTGTGCTGAGGATGATACTTTGATGTTTTTGTATGCTTAGGGCCTACTTTAGAAATCAAGAGTTGCCTGGAGGTATTATAAAGCAATGAATTAAGAATGTCACGTTTAATCTTTTCTCAACACTGTCATGTCTTCTGAAGATTTCTAGTTCTCATTAATTATTCTAAGTTCTGTCTGCTTCATGATACTGTGGAATGAGTGATCTGTGGCTGTGCGTTGTCAAATGGAATTTTTCTGTTCTGTAGCTTGCTGACAGACTTTCTTGGCTTTAAATCTTACAGAAACAGAAGAGCAATCTGTTTCAGAAATGTTTTTGCAGAACTTTCCTCCATTGCCTTCATGTGAGCTATTGGATGTTAATGATGATCAAACACTTCCAAAGCTTATTGAGGTCCTGGAAAAACGCCATAAACTACGACAAATGTTGTCAGAGGAGTTTGCCAAAAATGGTAAGAATTTGAACATCAGTGTGGATCTAGATTTTTTTGGTGCCCTTATTACTACTCAAGGGGTCTCTTCGGTACCAACAGGAAATAAATATCTTGTCTAGATCGATCATTTAAAAAACCTTTATTGAGGTAATGAAATAGCTGGTAGCGTTAAATTGGTAGGAGAAAAACAGAATTGCTTTTGATATTGTGGAGATACAGCGAGAAGATAAAATATATTGATTCTCTTGCAGTGCTTGCATTTAAAACAATGCTGCAAGAATTTGACTCCAGTGTTGTATCCAAGGAAAACTATATTCAAGGAAAACTGTCCGAAAAAGAGAAAACAATAGCAGGACAGAAAATGGAGTTAGAACGCCTGGAGAAGAAAATTAAAACTTTGGAATACAAGGTCAGTTTTTTCATTGTCTAAGGCTAAGCACAAAATGCGTTTTCTGTGTACCATTTGGCAAGCTTCTTGACATCAGAAGCTGCTTGCAAGATGGATATTAGAAACAAGATTAAAAGTGTTTTGTGGGGAACTTTACTGAACACTTTTAGCTTTTTGGCTTTCTTATGAGGTAAGGCTTTTCTTAATCCATTAAGATGGGCAACTTATAAGAAAGTTGTAAAATCTCTGAAATGCTTTGGAATGTGGACTGTTTATCTGGGTATATTTGTACAACAGCTAATATATTCTAGTATGTGTTAACAGTCAAATATAACTAGCAATTCTGGGCTTAGATGGCTGTGCTTCTAAGAAGTGTAGCCAAGTCCTTCCTCTCTTCCTCCAGATTGAGATTTTAGAGAAAACCGCAACAATTTATGAAGAAGACAAGCGTAATCTTCAGCAAGAATTAGAAAGTAAGAGCCAGAAATTGCAACGTCAGGCTTCTGACAAGCGTAGGTTGGAGGCACGATTGCAAGGCATGGTGACAGAAACAACCATGAAATGGGAGAAGGAGTGTGTAAGTACACTACCATATCTATTAGAAATGTGTAATGGAGCAATGTTGGGGGGAGCTGGACAGCTTGTTTTCGTGGTTTTTTTTATATAGTAGTAGCATTAAGAATAGAGATGTGTTTGGCTTTTAATTATGGACTTGAACAGACATTTTCAACTTAACTTTTATAAATGTAATATGATACAATAAATTCCTCAAGGACTTCTGATGCAGCTAGAGCAGCTCTCTTAAGCACTGTGTCACTTCATTTCAATATCTAGAATTTGGTCTTTTGGGTTTGTGGCATTCTAAGGAGTGATTCTCTTGTTCTGCCAGTTGTCAGTAGAAGCCTGAGTCAGGGTTTCCCCTTTTTCCCCATGTAAACTTGCTCAGATATGCACTTGACAAGCAATGAGGAAAGGAAATCTGAGGGATTAATTTTTACTACTGCAGGACTGTTTACTACTTCAGGACCATTGATAGAACTATAGTTAGAGATGCCCCCATTTGTCATAATTTAGGAAGCAAAATTATTATGGCATTAAACATGGTACTGTTTTATAATCTGGAAAGTCTTTCTTTAGCTTGGTATGTCATTATTTCCAATGGCTTGTATCTCAGTGGGGAAGAACTTCATTCCATGTGGAATATGCAATTCCCTTCAAACTTTCAGCACGTTTACTTGTGCTTTCGTGTAAGATACTTCATGCTTTTCCTCACTTGTCTTTGTAGGAGCGTCGCGTAGCAGCAAAGCAGCTGGAAATGCAGAACAAACTTTGGGTCAAAGATGAAAAACTGAAGCAACTGAAGGCCATTGTCACTGAACCAAAAAATGAAAAGCCAGAGAGGCCTTCGCGGGAGAGAGACCGAGAGAAGCCTGTTCAGAGATCAGTGTCTCCTTCACCAGTACCTGTAAGTTGCCTTTAAAACACTTCTTGAGATAGGGAAAAGCATATTTATAAGAATGAACTGAAGTGCAGGCCAATTCTCTTTAGTGGCTAGAAAATAGTTCCCAAGCACAGAAATTTGGATAACTTAAACTCGCTTTGAATTCTTCGTCTCCTGTTGTATTCATCAGTTCTCTTTATTTATGCTCCTACCTTCTAATGCTACTAGTATTGGAAGAATACCTGATTCTTAATGCTGTCACTGCAACACAATACCTATCCAAAACCATAAGCTTGAATAACTGACAGCATGCAGAGTGACAATTCAGTGTTCGTTGTTTTATTGCCTTGTAAGTTGACAGTTCTGTATGTTCACTAACTTCTTTCCCATTCTCTCTAGCCTTCTAGTAACTTTACTCAGGTCCCTAACAGCCAGCGGCTTGTGAGCAACCCACAGGTGCACAGACGTTCTAATTCTTGTAGCAGCATTTCTGTGGCATCCTGTGTTATGGAATGGGAGCAGAAAACCCCTTCGCACAAGCATACCAGTGGCACTTCTAATGCAAGGAGTAGACAACAAGAACCAGAACAAAGTAGAGACTGTAACACCTCAGACAGAAGGCGAGGGATGTGCTGGACTGGAGTCATTGAGGTTCCCAGGCGTAGAGATGAGCTAGAAATAGAAGAGGATCAATGCTGCAGGGTTAGTGCTGCTCCTGTCAAAAGCTAAACGTAGTGTTGCTTAGTCTGGCTCAAAAGCTCATTACAACTGCTCTCTTACCTTGAGCACACCTAACACAGATTGGAGTTTTCCCCTAAATGTATTTCTCATAGAACAGTACTGTTTGAGTTGAGTCTCACTACTCGTTCTATTTGACTTCTTAACTTGACGTTTAAAAGCAGCGTGTGTGTTTCTTGCTAGTCCATAGATAGCTCTCGTAAGGAACTCCTAACTAGCTAGACCTTTTCTCTAGCTGTGAATGTCCTTGTGTTTTAATTTGTCTGTCTCCTCAAATCTACCTTATAGCCTGCAATTTACCATAGTCTGTTTGGGCAGCTTAAAAGGTGGTCTTATGAGCCATATCTGCAAATGTCTACTGGAAATAGTGCTTGGACAAACATCTCACTAGTGTGACTGTTAACTTTAACTCTCTTAGAATAGTCTTCCCTAATTTTCACATCTGCATTAAAACTGGGGGCTTTGCTTACAGGTGGGAGACTTTTTTTCTCATTAAACTAATGCGTGCAAATGTTTGCATTGGTGGTGTCTATCGCGTTATAGCACTGTCACAGTGGCTCAGGTAAATCAAAGAGAATTGTACAACCCCAGCCTCTTGAGAGAGCTTCTCGAGAGGAGGAAAGTTTATCGTGGTATGATTCCTTTTTGATAGTGTTCTCAATTTCTGTTACTTGCTAGCTCTTTGAAGTCAGGGACATGCTTTTAAGCAAATGCTATTCCAATTAAGTAAGACATGAACCACTGTCAGCAGAGTAAGGGATGTGGTCTCTGCCACAGTAAAATGCAACCAGTAGTAGTGTACCCTCTCCTTGGAACATAACTTTGAAGGCACCTTGGCAGAATTGTTTCAAAAAAACATCACTTGCCTGCTAAAATGGGGGGGGAGTATTGAAATCTTTCTTCTTTTTTTTATTTTAATGGAAGATTTTTGCTGAAAGCCACATTTCCCTTTATATGTTTAATTTTTAAGAGCTGCTTTAGACTTGTAAAGGGTACAGCCAATCTCATGTCTATTGGTCAAAGAAATCCTAATTGATGCTCATCACCTGAAAATACAGTGGATACAACTTGCATTCATAGGTTTGGGTTATGTAACCTCATGATGCTTGAGGTCTCTAAAATTAGTATGTAAACGGAACAGACAGAGTCTGCAAATACTCCTTCAAAAGCCCATTCAAATACCTTGAAGGCACCCAGGTTTTTAAACAGATTTCCAGATTTTTTTCTGATTTCCCTGAGCAACTGACAACAATGTTCATAAAATAAAAATATACGAACTTCAGTCACTTCTCATGGGTTTCCAACAGCTGAGTTCAGAAGCGATAGCACTAGGACAGGGGATGCTTCCTCTGCTCTGTTTAGTCAGAAGTGTTATGAGGTCTTGCATCCTTTAGAGGTGTTGGAAATCCATACTCATTCTGCTTGCTTTGCTACCTCAAAGATACATTTTGATCCATGAATGCATCCATGGAAAACATAAATTTCTCTTTTCTGGTTGGTTAATATGTTCATAGCGATCCGTTTTGATTTGGAAACTTGGGAGGAGCATTATCAAACATAAAGGAAACTCGGGAGGAGTATTGCCAAACAAAAAGATGTCCTCCTTGAGGAAACTTGACTAGGTATGGAATGCAACAGATTGGATAACTTAGCTAAAATTTACAAAAAATAGGAATTGGCACAGAAATAATCCATTAATAACTTTATGCAAGGCTCTCGGTGCCTTTCAGGATGCACTCTGAAAGCACTTTAGGAACGAAGCTTTGATCTTCATACAGACACATCTTAACCAGACCTGCAAAGTTCACTTCTGCTAATGATATCCTCTGAGAGATTTACTGTGTGCTGATTTCTTCTGATTCTCTTCCACTCTAATCAGAACGCACCTCCAGTTCGTCTCAGACACAGACGGTCGCGCTCAGCTGGGGAGAGATGGGTAGATCATAAGCCACCTTCTAATCTGCCCACTGAAACAGTCATGCAGCCGCATGTCCCTCATGCCATCACAGTAGCGGCTGCAAGTGAAAAGGCACTAGCTAAGTGTGACAAGTATATGCTGACGCACCAGGAGCTAGCCTCTGATGGGGAGATTGAAACAAAACTAATTAAGGTAAAGCAAACGCCTTCATCGTAAACTTGTGACAACCCTGTCAAAACCTATTTCTGGCAATGTATTTGTGCTACAGGCTTACCGGCTTGCGAAAGGGTACGTTTGACTCAATCTGCTAAGGGATTTGATTTGAAAGTTTTGTGCAGTTGGATTCAAGGGAGCTTTTAGAGTCTGAAAATAGTTTTCTTGAACTTTGTCATTACTTCGTATAAACCATTACAAGCTTGGTTATCTCAGTCACAGTTTTCCTTGAAAGTAATTAAGTTGTTTTTTCTCTAGTAAAATGCAATAATCCATTTGTAGTGAAAGTTTTTTAGACTTGTGGCTGCAGCTAATCTTGTGGAGTCAGTCTTGTTGGAGTGATGTTATTCAATTTCCACTAGCGGTATGAGTAAGCTTGCTGCAGTGATGGATGCTCGAATGCTCCAGGACATAATTTCTAGCAGTCAACTGACAAATTGGTGAGACAGCCTAGACTTTGAACGCTTGCAATGTTTGTGTCCCAAAACACTGACTGTACTTACCTAAGGCAAATTGAGAGCTCTTTGTAATTTGTAGCAAGAAGCTTTTGGTTCATTTTTCCTACAGTCACGAGCCTTCCAATATTGTCCTTTTTGAGTTTTAAAAAAACCTCTTACTCCTGTAAGGTAACCTTGTAGGTTCCAGCGACGTTTTCAAAAGCAAAGTCTTGCATAGCTGACAACATACCTGTTCATGCTGTGGCATGGAACTATTGAAACTAAGCTTATGACATGATTTCTGTAGTATTACTTAGTCATCATTATCATACAGAATTCGTTGTTATCGTAGTGACTGCTCCGTGGGTATCTTGCATGATCATCAGGGTAGATGGTGTTCACTCTTTATGTCCTGCGTATAATAAGAAAAGATAGATAATGGGGGAGAGTGTATTTGTGCATGTATGCTTGCTGGCTACTGCAAGGAAATGACATTTGTAAGCACTTAAGTTTTCCTGTAAAAACTGTCACTGTAGCCATCATGCTGATCTAGTGACTGTACCTTGTTAACTGCTTTTGGTTTCCAGGGTGATGTTTTCAAAACCAGGGGTGGTGGACAGGCTGTGCAGTTCACAGAGATAGAGACTCTGAAGCAAGAATCTCCAACTGGGTGAGCTGTCTTAATTTTAGGTTCTGACACTGGCGATGTGTAACTCCAATAGTAGCTGATTCTGGTCCAAATGATTGAACAAAACATTGTTGCATCTAACTTGAAATCATATAAAAGTAACTTGGAGAGGCTTATAGACACTGTAGCTGCTTTCCAGGCTGGTCTGCTGCTGCGGGCAAAGTATTTATTTAGAAAGCATAGAATGTATTCTCTTGTGTATGAGAATCTGCCAAAATACATGTGTGTAACTTTTTTTCCCCACATACTCCTCTTTCAGTCGAAAGCGGAGATCATCACCTTCCGATCCTGACCCACCCGAGGATGCTGCAGACTCTGAATGGACTGATGTAGAAACCAGAGTAAGCCATAAACGAAGGAGGGGGGCATCTCCGTGCTTGATCTGGATGAGAATTTGGGGTAATGCTGATAGCTGGGTCGGGGTTTAGCAATAGAGACTGATTTTTCTGTGTCTTCTCAGTGTTCTGTGGCAGTGGAGATGAGGGCAGGATCAGCTCTTGGACCTGGATATCAGCATCATGCTCAGCCCAAGTAAGCGCATCTCTCCTTTGTAGCTGGGGTATTGCATTCTCTTTCCTGATAACATTTAAAGTGAGAGAACTTTTTTTTCTCCCTTGACCTTGCTGCCATCCCCGCTTCAGGTTTGGGGTGCATACCTCCTTAATACTGTAAGAGAAGCAGGTTTATTCCATGTTGGAAACTGGTCGCATGATAAATCTGTAGGAGACTCTAAGCAGAATTATTAACTTGTCTGCTGGGTAACACTCCGGCATTCAGTGCAGTGAGCAGAATGTCAAGTTTGATCTTGTGCTACCTTGACTGTAAAAAGCTGGGAACTGTAGGATGCCTGGCAGGTCCAGAGTGGAATAGGGTTAGGGATGACGGTGACAAAGTACTAAGCTGTATCCCTCTTCTGTCCCCCTAGCATTTATCAGATGCTGATGTAGTAAAGAATACTCATTTTTGTATCTTTGGATAAACTTAAATTAAACAAGGTTACAATTCAGTATGGCGTAGGGAGGAGGGAACTGAGGTGACCGTGGGATATACCTAATGGTATACTTGAACATAGCTAATATTCCAGCTGCTACCTGCTGTGTAATTGTCAAGGCACCTACTAAGGAAGCATGGGCTCTAGTCATGTTAGAAGAAACTTTCCTCTTTTTCAAATGCATAGATAACAGTCTGAATTCTTCATGGCTGTCTTATCATTCTTTAAAGTGGTGGGATCAGTGGCGGTCGCACACATAAATGCAAGCTTACCAAGTCAGAAGTCCCAATTTCTAGCAAAAAGTCCAAACGATCCTGCAGTTTGTAAGGCTAGTGCCCAACATTTGAGCCCCACATCTAGTAAAACATTTCACTGACAAAAGAAATGCTTCAGATAAGATTTGTTGAATTCTGTTCTGCAACACCTAGTTTAATATCCAGATTTGGCCTCTTGCAGACAGGTGCTGGCAGTGCTGTGGAAGTCACCTCTTCACCTCAGGGGAAGAAAATAGACAGTTTTGCAAGAAATGTTTGCAGGCAGGAGAGAGGGCTGGAGCGGTAAAGAAGTTTCTATGAAGCCAAAATGAACTAAGCTTGTTGCATTTGGAATGCAAAAAGTTTAGAACTATGGTGGAGGGGTATTTTGGAGGGTATCTGAAATCAGTAATCCCTCTTTCAGATAAGGTGACAAATATGTGCCTTTCATCCTGTTAGCATATACTTTATTACATCTCTTATTAGAAACTGGGACCTGCTCAAGGTGGCTACTGCTACTTGCAGCCTTGCTACAGCCTGGTAATATTGTAGTAAATCCTTTAGCTTGCCTGTGTGTTGAGTTGGAGCTTGTATTTATTTTAACTTATTAAATACATTAAATGAAACTGTTTTACACTCACGGCTGTCTAAAAAAGAAAGCAAAATACAGGTGTTTCTTGATAAATAAGCTCTTTAGTTTTCTTGTGTTAATTGTTGCATTTCTTAGCATAGGAGCTACGTGAGACGTATACTGCAGAATAGGTAAACAGGCTATTGACTACTGTTAAGGAAAACTGCTGCCGTGTAAAATCTGAAAGTTGTTTGTGGCTTTTTTCTTTCCTTTTTTAGGCGAAGAAAGCCATGAACTTAACGTACTACTGCGTTGGAATCCTCCTGATTTTATCAGACTGATCTAATATCTGCTGCCAGTGATAAACTTGATAAAAACTGCTTTGTTATCACTACAGGCTTATATTTTTATAATAGCCTGTGCTAGGCAATGGTTAAATGGGAGATACTTCTTGCGATCCCAAAGAAGCATATGTGTGCGTGTGTATATTTTCAATAGATGTAGGGGGGTTCTGCCATTGTGTCCTCTGGACTTCTGAAGAACACCTTCTGTCTCGTATGTATGAAGCCCTTGGTATGAAGCTGTATCTTTATAGACTAATGACACAAGGCTTTTGCCTTGCGTATTTTTTCAGCTTTTTCTTTTTATAGTGCAAAATAGTTCTATTCTGGTCACTATCCCTTCCTGTCAGGTCCTCTGTTTTGAAGAGGCATAAATGCTGCTATTTATTTAGATGCAGTAACGCACTTTAAGAGTGTTTCTATGCCATTTCATGTTTTGTTATAACTAGCAACAGCTAGGTAATATGGATTTCTTGGAAGAATTACCTTTGAATATTTAATATGCAAATCGGCTTGTGAAAACATTTCAATCTTCAAACCTTCATAGTAATGAAGCAAGAATACTGATATGATGAGTAATGGTAACTTGACATCAGACCTACTTTATTTTGTAGTGCAAGTAAATAATTAAATGTTTTACATCTGTAGATATGGGGTAAAAGGGTAATTTTGCTCTCAGATATGGTGAGAACTTTATATGTGTATCTCTGCAAACATGTTAAAATAAATACTTTTATTCAATGGCTCTTACAAACCATGTTCTTGTTACTTAGGGCTATGCTAAACTACAGAAACTAAGGTAAGCACCACAGCATCTTGACTGCGTCTTGTGCAAAGAGCTGTGAATGAATGCACCTTTTGGGAAACTTCTGAAGTTTAAACCAAGGAATCTGCTTGGATCTCAGGATATGTTTTGGACAACCTTATCTTCACGTCTGCAAATTGCTTTCAAGGGCAGTTGGTTCCATTTTGAGTGAGTGACTGCCTCGTTAAAAGATGGTGGAGCTTTGAACTTTTTCCAGCATAAGTAAAAGCTTTTGTTACTAAGTAGTTTAAAAAAAAATATTTTATAAAGCCTAGGGGATTTTAAAAAATTTTTTTTTTACAGAAAAGTGACCAATGTGAGTGCCTGTTCGTAGCTGGTATAAGCAAATTTATTTTCAGGTGGTCCACAAAAAGGCTTATATTCTAAAGAAACACCATCTTTTCCACAGGTCTCGCAGGCCCACAGCTGGAGCAGAAAGCTGTACAGCAGCAGTAATGGCTAGCGCTAACACTGTCCTCTGTGGTTGTCTTAGCGTTCACCTAGCGAAGAGCAGGCTTGATCACTTTTCACTCTGAGAAAGCATGAAGGCAGAACACTATTATTCTGTTGTCTTGAGCAGGCACTGCTGCTTGACAGTTTCAGAAGCTTTCTGCCTTGGCCTGGGAAATAAGAAGTCCTGGTTCAAAAAGCTACAAGCAGAGATAGATAGCTCTGTGTGGCAGGCATGCCTTTGGTAAATGTGTGTTCAGGATGCTGGCTGAGGTACGGCTTTGCTTTTATTTGCTGCCTAATTGGTTAAGTGCGATGTCTTAGAATATAGCTAAGTAGTCATAAGTGGCAAACAGAAGAAAAACCAACGAGGGGAAAAACCAGCCTGAAGAAATGCATGGGTTGGTGGTTTGAGAGGCTTCTGTGAACTTGAGCTCGACAGACGAATCCCATGCTGCCTGGTGATGGAGCGGCGGGAAGCAGTGCCGCTGTAGCTGCATGGTGAGCTAATGCCACTAGGTGGTGTGAGATAACCGTGAGGGGCTGGTGGCTGGCTCCCTCTCCCTCTGCCCTGCAGGGAGGTAGGCTTTGCCCTGGGCGTGGGGCAGGGAATTCCTCCTTCCTGCTCTGCGGAGTCTTGGGGTACCCCTAACCTGTGCAGTGGGTTCCCCGCTGCCACCCATCTTCCTGCCTTTGCTGCTGCCCTGTGGGAGGATAGGGATAGGAAGGGCAGCCAACAGAAATAATGAAAGAAACTTAAATAAGGCCCATGCTCCTATTTCTGGAATTTAAATTAACTCCTTCACATACACTAAAATAATTAATCTACTATTAATGATGAGCAAGCTGTCAAACGCATTATCTCTTTGATTTGGAGTCAATCATCCTGTCATCAGCATAAGTCATATTGAAAGTGTTACTGGGGAAACCTGGGAGGGAGACATGAGAAACTGATATTCAAAACTTTGTAAAGGAAAAATATTTAGCTACAGAATGTAGCTTCATTTGGGTTGCTTCAAAAGCGATGTGAAAGGCGTTCTGAATTAGCTCTCCAAATGCTGTTTTTTACATCACTGGTGGCAAAAGATGCATGGCCGAAGGTTTATTTCTCAGTCCTTGCCAAGTTCTGTATTTTGACGCATAATGTTTTGCAAGAGCTTTCTTCAGAAATTTCTTGTTTTGAAGGAGAAAGCTGTTAAGCACAAAGAAAATAGTTGCTGCAGGCACTTTGTCCTATTATAAAGGTTAATCAAAAGCGCAAATATAAGACCTTGCTAAGGAGGATATCTGTCCTTGCCAGTGCTGTGAGGAAGGTGGCAGCACGGTAACAACTTGTCTCGAGTCTCTGACTTGTTCTTCATGCGCCTCAGCTGCCCTTGAGGTCTGTCGCTGAGCTAACTGTGCTGCCTTGTGCCTCTGAGCAGAATTCAAGGGTAGGGTGAAGGCTGGGCGGCTCTTCCTGGCTTGAAGTCTTGACTAGTCATCACCCCTGTGCAGCCAACACAACCATACTGCACCTCCCTCCTATCTTAGTTACATCTTTAATTGCTCAAATGCTGTTATTACCTCCTGTGATGGGCACCATAGATAACTTTAAAGATTGAAACCTAATGAGTGAGAATGAGCTTTGCAAGCTGCTCCCGGGTTCACGTTTGGAAAGAATCAGAGTTTGGATGAGGACTCAGGCTCATCTCATGAAGCCTGTTAGCCTGGGGAAGGAGAAGACATGGGGACTCTTGTGGCAGCAACGGCAGGCGGAACTCAGCCCATCAAGCGAACTCAGCGTGCCCATCAAGCTCAGTTTCCTAGCCCAGGTCTAGCAACGCTTTTCCATCAGCAGAGTTGCGTTTGGTGCCACTCGATCGCATTCCTCTGAAGTCGTTCTTCATGTCTTTGCCTCTTCTTCACATATTTACTCTCTCACATAGTACTGGCAGTGTTTACTCTGCAAAGATTCCTCTAAGACTCAGCTAAGCACACAATTTACTCAGTTAACAAGGGCTGGCATTTATTGTGGGTATCTTTGTGTACTTGTCGTTCTTTAGTCTCTGTTGACATTCAGTGGGAAGCGTTAAAACAAACAGCAGCACGCAGTAGGAGGGTTGCCTGTACCAACGCTGCTCTGTGAAATAGCTGAATGAGGCTGCCTGCTTGATGTTGGCCAGAGCTGGCTCCCACCAGCCTGCTGTCAGTGAGGATGGAAAAGCCTTTTTGAAGCAAGTGGGCTTTTGGGAAAAATTTTCATCTTTGGAAATTCAGCTTTTTTTCTTTTCAGTGCACGTATACCTTCCTTTATTTTTCCCTTGAGGTTTGCACTGATTGCAGCTAACATTTCCCAAGAGCGGGTAAGGAAGTAGCCCTATGGAATAACTCAAAGTTCAAGTTTCTAGCAAGCAAGCTTTGTGGCTTTAACCCTGAATTTGTTATTGCCCAACAATAGAGCAATTTATTGGGCTAGAGCAATTTAGAGAGCAGGGGCTCTAAACCCAAGGGCATCTTGGGGTCTCACTCTTGCT